ACTGGTTAGGCCTCAGTTGGAGTATTGTGTCCAAGTCTGGGCACCACATTTCAAAAAAGATGAGGATAAATTGGAGAAAGTCCAGAGATGCCTATAACTTTTTGGTATTGGTCAGCTCTAATCCTTGTAATTGAATGCCCCCCTCCTTACAATGGCATTTCCTGTGATTCTTCCAGGATCAGACCCAGGGTCCACCCAGTCCAAGCTCTTGTCTCCTACAATGGCCATTCCTTCATACTTCAGAAGAAGGTGTAACAAACTCAACAATGGGCAGATTTAGAATAATCTTGCCTCTATGAGGGTCTGATCCTAATCCATAATAATTAAAGTAGGGGATGTAAGCAACTAGTTGACTACCTAATAAGCATATGCTTATCGGGTAGTCGAGTAGTGACTCCTACTACATTTGAAAGGCAGAGATGCCTCTGGGCTAGCAAGCGCCCCACCTCCGCCTTATCGACTAATCAAGTAGTCAATGCCAATTCCATCCACTACTCAATTAGCTGATTCATTGAAATTTAACATACCTAAGTTAAAGATTGATTTTAAACTGTGAAAGCATGAGATTTTATATTTTTCACAATATTTTGTATTAGCAACATCTATTATTGTTCTGGATTCTCTTGTTCTCCATACAATCCTTTGAAGAGGAATAATCTTTTCTTATTGCTGCTACCACTTAAGTCATGATTATTACCCCAAAGAGTGGGACAGGTCCCATGCTGACATTCATGCTATATCCTATTTGCACTCCAATTTGTTTGGCTTTGCAGTATTTATTTTTGCACTTGTAAGAAATTCTCCAACTGCTAACATTCTCCAATTGCTTGAGTGACTAATATTTTCTCTTACATGTCATAATTGCTGAACTTTGTCAGGCTCTCTGGGCCATTAACCTGTGAATACTTGTATGTATGGGTTCCTGTGCTATATCTTGTAGGTGGGCTGAGCCTTATATTTCACGAGGAGTAACGGTAGTTCGAACTAGGAAGCCTAGTTCGAACTACCTAGTTCGTGCCCCATGTAGCCGCGCTGCACGGGGTTCGAACCAGCGGGGGTTTTAAAAATGGCGGCTCCCCGCTTATGCAAATGAAGCCCGGGAAATTCAAATCCCGGGCTTCATTTGCAAGTGCGGTATGCCTACATTACCCCGCTAGTTCGAACTAGCGGGGTAGTGTAGACATACCCTTAGACTGTAGCATGTTGGTCTGGCAGACGGAGGTACTCCATGACTTTCACAGCTCGGAAGAGGATATGAACAGACAATGGTTGGACATGGTAAAAATACAGGCAGTTTACCAACAGACCATGATACCTTCAGTATTCCAGTCATGCTTAGCTAGACCTTCCCCCTTTGCTCTGCTTTGCTTTTTTTTTTTTTTTTTTTTTTTTAAAGGCGACTTTAAACCCTTGTGCTTTGCAGTTATTGTACTTACTCATTAGGTGGCACTATGCATCTGCAAGAAATCAATGGACTTTTAATGGCACTTGTATTTTCTGGTATAAGTCCATTGACATATTGTTTGTTTCTGATGAGCCCATGAGTTCCAAGAAAGTAGGTTTTAAATTTGATACTAAATTACAAAAATACTCCTGTACTTCCAACGTCCATGTTTCCATGCTCAACATATTTTTTAAAAGAAACAAATGGAGAGAAGCCTTTTTTCAGGAGGGAGAGGGGTACTTTTATCTGATTACGATAATTGTGCAAAGAACTATCGTGTTTTTGATTGTAAGAAATAATTTAATAACTTATTAATCCATATTTATAATATGTTTGGTACACTCAGAGTTTTTAAAGCACTACAAAATTTTAAATGTAAGTTAATTTAAAAAAAAGACTTTGTGGTGTGATTAATTTCATTTGTAGTTTTAAACACTTGATTTTTATAGGAATATGGAATTGGAAATACAGGTAATTTTAAAAAATTGGGCTTCGTCAGAGTCCAAGAAAAGTTATTTCTTTGAGTCATGTATTTAGAGTTTACCAAGACAAAATAACCTGTAATCTTGTTTTACCAAGTGACCTGAACATAAAAGCTCTGGGTCTGTGATGACCAAGGCACAAGGTTGGAGTTACACTTAAAGAGAGAGATGCACACTGGTTGCTTCCCCACAGGCAACAATTATTTACACTAGGCCTGTGTAATAAACAAGTTTTTATTAAGTATAAAAAGTAGGATTTTAAGTGATTGCATGTGAAAGAAAGACACCAACTAATTCTAATACACTAAGAAGCTCGTTACATGCAAATTCTTATCCTAATCAGTTCTTATTTCAGGCCTTAGTCAATCTTTTTCTGAGCTGAGCCCAGCAGCTTTGCCTTCACTCTCTCACTACAGTTCTTTGTCTCCAGGTCTCTTTATGTGTATCCTCTTAGGGTGGAGAGAGAATTTCAAAAGCCAGCTGAGGACAAAAGACTTAATTATTTTCCATTGCTTAAATAGAATTTCCCCAGGGCAGGAATCCTTTGTTTGGCATTCCCCATCCCCAAAAATACCAGATTCAAGATGGATTCCAACATCAGGTATCACCTGTCTTTGTAGGACCCAACCACATTTTGGGCATTTAGGAAAGACAAAACCATTCACATGGCTTTGATTTGATTGCCCAACTATTAAGTTCCTAAAATATCACTAATGGCTTTTACTACAATACTTGGACTAATAAAACATTTAGTTTTTCTAACTTCACATACAAGTAAGATTGTTGCACAGAAATAGACTATACATATTGAGGGGCTCATAGGCTCCTGAAAGATAGGTTACAAAATGATCTGGTTTGCATAAAAAATATTTGAGCTAGCATATTCATATGTCAGTTTTCATAAGGCATGGGGGTTCCTGTGACAGTGCATATAGGATCAGTTTTTATACAAGAATTTCATTACCAAAATGACTTGAACTAATATTTTATATGTCAGTGCTGCTTCTCTTACACCAACATTGCACACGTTCAAGGACTTGTTTTTCTTTTCCAAGGTCTTCAGCCTGTATCATAAAATAACATTATGCTAAATCAAAGTCCCAGATAACATTACATATATCTCCTGTGATGGAATTACTTGTATCTTATTTACTTTGATTCTGACAGGTCAATGTGCATTTTTCCATATGCTCAAAAGCTCCTCCAGCTTTCTGTATTGGGGAAAAATAGGCTGCAACCTCAAACACATGGTAATTAATAACTTTGGCTGCTGCTGAAAGATGATCATCCAGCCAAAACAGGGAATGCTACCAGAAACTCAGACTGCAAATAGTAGAAAAGACCATCAGTGGGTGCTATGGTGGAGGCAGAGAACCTCCATTTAGTCTCTTGCAGAGCTACAATATTAGAGTTCAAAGATCTTTTATGCCATAATCTGTTTCATTCCAAGACTTCTGCCAATGGTGTTCAAGCTGTCATCCATCATGGGGAGTTGTTACAGGTTATCTGTAAACTAAGCAACCCTGCAAAGCCATCTTAAGTTGCTAGTGCTCTACTTCCTCATTAGTAGAGGATAAGCATGCGAATAGCCCACTAATCATTGATTGTTGTCAGGAGATCAGTGTTTTCCTCAAGAACTTTCTGGAAACACTCAGGTTGTGTTAGCATGATAAAGCACTATTTAAACAGATCCTTTTTATGTGCTCCAACTTCAGATCTCAGTGGATAGAGTGGTTGCTCCATGACAGTGATTTAATTTCCAAATTTCCCACCTCCTATCCTAATCTAAACACAACTACATCAAGAATGTGGCCAGCCATGTGAGTTAAACCAGCAATCACACAGAATAGTCAAATAGAGCAGGAAAAACTGAATTGATTGAGGAAGCTGACCATCCAGGAGACTGTTAAAGCAGTTGCTGTCAGCAAGAGAAGACAATGAACTTGAACAGGTCATGGGGAGAAGCATACACAGTCAGACACACTTTCATACACAGTCAGACACACTATATTTGAACCAGTGTGGGAGTAGGGCACCTTTTGCTTTTCAAGTTGGAAGCAAACTGCAGTCACACCACCTCCACTCTGATTCATCTTTGGGTTCATGTGGCACTGCTACCTGCCTGAGATCAAATGTACCTCATTTGTTGAGCCGGCACTTGGTGAGATGTGTAAGAGCTTCATCTCTATCAAATCCTATAATTATTGTTACTTGTTGACAGCTGACATCCTTTGATATCCTAATCCCTGAGAAAACTGTAGACTAAACCAGAGGAGCTGAACTGAAAATCTCAATTCATATTTAGTCTAGCATCATTTTTTGACTTGCTTTTGTCTCATCCTTGTCGCCCAACTACTAACTAGAGGGTTAGATGGGTCTGAGTCCAAAGCATCACCTTTAACATCCCTTCCACACCCAGAGAGCCTACCCCTCCAAATGCCTCTCTCACAAAGTGTAACCTCTTCCAGACTCATTCTTAGCTCTTGGGCCATAAACCAATTTACCCTACTCCCAAGAAAATCCTCGTGTGCGTAATATGGAGAAGGCTGCACATCCTACAAAACATTTTCATCCCTCAGAAAAATACAAAGGCTTCCCCTTTAATGGCTCTAACCTGCAAGTATGTAAAACACTCAACCATGACCTCTCCCAGGGGCTGTAGACCTAATAAAATTAATTTAGAAATAAACACACATGCCCAGTTATGTCCCTGCCTACTGAGCCTTGTGAGTGGGGGAAACTTCTCTCTTAAAGTGGCCTGTTTCCCCCATACTGCTGGTGTCATGAAGGAGACTGTACAGATTGAGGTAGAATAGTAGCTTCTTCCCTAGCACAGCTGAGTCCTCGGATGGATAAGGAACTCCTTTCTGAAAAAGGGGATCATCTCCCCTGCTGTTGGTAAAGCATCTAAATAATGTAGATTATTCTGTGATTTAAATAAGAAAAAACGCTCACAAACCTGGCAAATGGAGAGATTTCTTCTAACCTTGTTAAACAGATTATTTGTAACACTTTCAGAAATGCATATACCATCATACTTTAACATTTTAATATTTAGTTTTCAATATTCACAGCAACTGGAAGAAAAGAGTGAGGATGAAGAGGATAAAGAATGTTTGAAACAAGCAATAACAGCCTTGCTTAACCTTCAGAGTAGTATGGAAAGAATATGCTCCAAAAGTCTTGCAAAGCGAAGACTTAGGTAAACATGTTTCCATTTTTTTCTGCTTTCAGCCCTCAATGCTTTGCTATAAATCCAGGGTTCCCAGTTTCCTCTTTCAATAAACAATGAACAAAATAGTTTGTGACAAACCTGCTTTTTCAGAGGAAGTGACATCAAAGCTAAGATAATTTGTTATTGTTTAAAAACCTTTCGTATTTATATGTGTCCTTGCCCACAACTGGTCAAGACATCCTGAGAATTTAGTGGTAAGCAGAAGGAAAGATAAGTTATGTTTGTAGATTTTTTTTCTTCTGTGTAGTAAGTAGATTTGTAAAATTATAATTGCTAATGTTCATTTCTTATAGTTGAAAGTAGATATTATTTTGTCATGGAATTGTTACGTTATTCTAAGCAAATTTTTGTGTGCATACTCAGTTGAAAACTAAGCTCAAGGGTGAACCAGAAATTAATTGCAATATTATGTATTACATAATTGAAATAGATTTGATTATGATGAAAGTAAATTACAATATTTATGCAGTGCCACTTTATAGATAATTTTTTAAACTGTTTCTATATTTGTTCCATACATTAATTTAGGACTCTTAATATTTTCCTGATAACTAATCATATTTTGTACTCTAAAATTGAATATCTAGGCTTAGACATAAATGCATCAAACAGCTTAGCTGCTAATTGAGGAAGGTAGAATTAAGTGCATTCTTAATTATTGAAATAAATTGAGAATACATGTTAGAGCATGTAGAGCTGTAACAGTTTGCCTTTTGCTGATTAGGCAACTCGTTTAAAAACATTTTACTTTGCATAGTTGGTAAGACTTAAAAACAACAAGTAGTGGCACCTTAGATACGAACGCATATATAATATCATGAGCTTACATGGGCAAAACCCCCTTCATCAGATAATGAGCGTCTGGGAGAGATTCACTGCTCTGTCCTCAGCAGGGAGCCGGTAACACATAGCATGCTTGTATCAAATGAGGCACTTTAGGAATTAGCAAGCACTTTCTCCATACTGGTTGTTTCATTAAAATTATTCTCTTGTTAGCATGTGTTTCTTTGAGGGTGCATTTACCTTATAATATGGAAGGAATGGATTATTTTATCCTTTTTGGACTAAAGTACTAATGAAGCATTTCCTTTTTTTATTATTTCTCTTGATCACGGAAGTGAATCTGCATGTCGGTTCTATAGTCAGCAGATGAAGGGGAAACAACTAGCAATCAAGAAAATGAATGAGATCCAGAAAAACATTGATGGTTGGGAGGGTAAAGATATTGGACAGTGCTGCAATGAGTTTATAATGGAAGGAACTCTCACACGTGTAGGTGCAAAACACGAGAGACATATATTCCTTTTTGATGGATTAATGATTTGCTGTAAGTCGAATCATGGTCAGCCAAGACTTCCTGGTGCTAGCAATGCAGAGTATCGTCTGAAAGAAAAATTTTTCATGCGAAAGGTACAAATTAATGATAAAGACGACACTAATGAATATAAACATGCCTTTGAAATTATTTTAAAAGATGAGAATAGTGTTATTTTTGCGGCTAAATCAGCAGAAGAGAAAAACAATTGGATGGCAGCATTGATATCTCTACAGTACAGAAGCACTCTGGAAAGAATGTTAGATGTTACAATGCTACAGGAAGAGAAGGAGGAGCAGATGAGATTTCCAAGTCCTGAGCTTTATAGGTTTGCTGAACCAGACTCTGAAGAAAATATTGTATTTGAAGAAAACATGCAGCCCAAATCTGGAATCCCTATCATCAAGGCAGGGACTGTTGTCAAACTCATTGAGAGACTGACCTACCACATGTATGCAGGTGAGGCAACCTTTCAGCTGTTTTAGAATATTTGAATCCATTGATTATTTTACTAAGACCCTAATTTCTTTGCATAAAAACTTCTTAGTACACAATGAGAAGCAAGATACTGTCATCTTTCGGGGGCAGGTTTCAAAGCTCCAGTCTGTGGTTGTGTCTAGACTACATCCCTTTTCTCAAAAAAGGGATGTAAATTAGACATTTCAAAATTGCAAATGAAGCCGGGATTTAAATTTCCTGCACTTCATTTGCATAATGGCGGCCGTGTTTTTTTTTCGATGTGGGGCTTTTCGATAGAAAAACGGTTATTTAGACTGGGATCTTTTGAAAATAAAACTCTTTTTTGAAAGATCCTGTACACCTAATTTTTTGAAAAGCCTCGTGTCGAAAAAAACCGCAGCCGCCATTTTGCAAATGAAGTGCAGGAAATTTAAATCCCAGCTTCATTTGCAATTTTGAAGTGTCTAATTTACATCCCTTTTTTGAGAAGAGGGATGTAGTCTAGACACAGCCTATGTGTGTGCAGTCTTGGTGCAATAGCTTGACTAAGCATACAAAATATCTAGCATAGTAACGTCAGAGCTTCTCCATGGAAGGCACTTCAGCTCAGTGACTAGAAGGAAGCTCTCTGCAGTCCCTAGTGTACTGCTATTGCAGAATAGAGAACTGCATGATAGCAGTATTATCTCTTCTGGCTCTGCCCCCAGCCTGCCTCTGCTTTGCCCTTTACCCACCCCAGTGCAAGTACAGAGCTGTTGTGGAACAGGGACAAACACACTCGACCCACTTACATCCAGCCTTTTCTTCTTGTTTAATAGAACCACAGCTGTTCTATTGTCAAGTGTTTCCCTATGGGCTAATCACATTTGGCCAAAAAGCATACTTAACATTGGTAAAGTAAAAATCGATTAAAATACTGCATGCATTTTTTAAAAAAAAGCATGGATAAATTGTATAAAACCTCAACTATTCAATATGTTCTAGAGTGCAAAAGGTGTAACATGGGCATAAAATTGTTCTTGAGTTAGGAGATCTGGATCCTGGAGAGGAGGTCTTTGTAGCCTCACTATGGCTGAGAGTAAAATACAGGCCCTGGTCCGTTGAACTCATTAACACTGTATATGGGCATAAAGTTATTCTCATACACGGGTTCTTGCAGGATGAGAGCTGTATGCAATACTACTTTCTTTATGTTCCAAGTTTGAAGAGTTACCATGTGCTTGGACCTTAAGGGTACTTGGAGGACCAGAGGTTCAGAAAGTGTTTGTGCACCCAATTCTCTATTTTAAAGCTATGACCCTGAATTCAGTCTGCGCTTATATAGGCAGCTAATGAAATGAACACACAGCAAATAAGCAAGATGATATATCAATTTAGTAGTTAGAAAGGAACAACCTGTTCCTTTATTTCTTTAAATTAAATCAGATTTCACTATAAAGGCTTAATCACGTTATTAAAGGGGCAAAGCTATTATACTCAACTTTAGGGCTTTTTAATACAAATGTCAGTTATTGACAGAAATACATAATAGCTTTCATCCCTCATTACCTTCCTTCTTAATATTTTATGTGCTGTGTTTGCAGAAATGTTATTAACCTGTTCTCTGTTCATTACTTTAAAGCTTTACATGTGCACATTTCCTGATGAGGATGCCTCTTCCCAAAGCAGGGTTTTAAAATGATTTGTTCATTTTTAATATACGAATTCTTATGTTTATTAGCCAGAACAGTATGCAATACAATAACTTAATGCTGAATTTTTTTCCTAATGTAAAATCAATCTGATTAGGATACTGAATACATAACATGCCACTTCAAATGTTCGATAGACAAAAGGTCAGGATATTCTCCCCTCAAGTGTCAGAAAGTTTTTTATAATGTTGTATCATTAGATAATTCTTTTGCCTTTTTACAATATGTAATTATTTACTTTTTTTGGAGGGGCGGAGAAAATGCTTTCTTAAAAAGTGGGTGAGATTGTTGTGGAATTTTCTGTTCTGTTTCCTGGTGATTTCCTGATCCTGTATTGTAGATCATTGTAATCACAAGAGTGACTTTATATGCTTTTGGAAATAACAGGTTACAGTAGTAGAATTTTCTAACATGTTTGGAGACGGTGGTTTCACTAGGGATAGGCTAAGGCAGTTCTTTGACTTGGCTAGGTAGAGCGTAGCATTCAGTATCAAAAGATAGGGATTGGAGTTGGTAGTATAGATGGAGAAGATCTGTTAGGTCAGTGGTGCCCAATTTTATTTGAGAAGGGCCACATAAACCTAAGCACAATCTTGTGTGAGCCAAATAGATTCTATATATTTAAAAAAGATTTAAAATCACCTGTATTGATTTATATTTTAAGTTAGTTTCTATGTATAGTATTGTCCGTTTACACTGTTGTGGAAACTAAAATGATATAAACACGATGACAAAACATTAATGAGTTGACTGTTAGTACATGGTATTTGAAGCAGGCCGTGGGCCTTAGAAGCTCTCTGATGGACTGTAGATTGGGCACCCCTTTATCAGGTCAATGCCTGTCAGCATGAAATTTTTCTTTAGAATATGTTTTCCAGTGTTTGTCAATCTAATTTGAAAATCCCAAGTAATTGCACTTGTAACACTTCTCTACGGAGACTATTCCATACGCTAATGCAGCTCTCTATGAATGTTTTTCCTCATAGTCAGCTGTAATTTTTCCTTTCGCAATTTCATTCCATTACAACTTTTGTAAATTGTTCTCCATCCCAGTACATATCAGTTGAATATTTGTAAGTGGGTTACAGTTTTCCACCTCCCTTTTTTTGCTGTCTGCTAACCAAATTACATGCATTTCATTTGTTAATCTCTACTGTAAATGAATCTTTCCATACCCTCAATCACTTATTGTATTCTGAACATTCTTGAAATGTGGCATGGAAAAATAAACACAATATTCCTGATCCAATTACAGCAAAGCTATTTTAAGATTCTGTTCTCATTTGCTCATAACTTTTCAAGCCTTTTAACCTTTGGGGCTGAAATTTTATTTGTGTGGTCGCTGTCCCATGAAATTTTTTTGGAAGTTCGAGCAAAGGCAGTTAAGCAGTGTTTGAGAGCAAAAGCAAAACCATTCAGTAGAATTGGTTTTGTGGCACTGTTTTTAAAAGTTTGAGCAATAAAACAAATGGGGAAATGGAGGTAGTATTTAATAGGGCAACAGCCCCAAAAGAAATACCTTTTTGAGTTTTCTGGTGCTGAACACTTATTTTGGTTGGCTGAGATATAGGCTTTTGAGATTCTCCCTTTGTACATACCCAACAATTTAACACTGGTTATTAATATATTTGAGAATGTTCCAAGTATTGGTAGGAGGCCCTGTTCGTATGCTTGTATTCAGTGAGCTAGTGTTCTCCTGCATCTATCTGCCCAAAAAGGAACAATTTCTAAATTATTTTAGGAACATAGGGTCTAGTAAAAGATCTTTCTTTTGCGTATTCCTCACCAAAGTGCGCCCTTAGCAGATATATAATACTACCCACAAGATGGTGACCAAGAGTCCCTGACTTTTAGGTCCACTTCTTCAACCAGATGCACTCAATGCCTGGCACTTCACAACACCTATTTAACAAAGCTTAGAAGTGGCATAACTAAGGCACAGAGAGGCTGTGGTGTTCTTGCTCAGAGTCACAGAACCATGTGACAGAACTGGGAACTTTAGTCTCATTTGATAGATTGGAAAATTGAGAGAGAAAAATGTACCTGCCTTGCCCTGTAGGTTACAAGATTGGTGTTGATTTGTAACCTTAAAGAGCTGAGTTCAGCCACTGGAACTGACCCTTATGTGCAGTGTGAAACTGGGTGAGTTAGTGTCCTCTCTGTCACCCATTTTTAATACCAGACTACTCGTGCAAACCCGCCTTTGCAAAGGACTTTGAAATCCAAGAATAAGAGACCCTGTGTATCCTAAGCATTATTAGCCATGTTTTTTGGATGAACGAAGGAACATAGCGGGTCAGGGACATAACCAGGAAGCACAATGACATAGGAAACTAGATATGAGTGAACATTGATGGTACCCCTGTTACGATCCTGTGGATTGCCTCACTTGCGCTGCATCTTTGCACTCTTTGCAAAGCATGTACATTCACGTGCTTTGCAAAGAGTGTAGAGATGGAGCGCAAGTGAGGCAATCCACAGGATCTCTGCCACTGTTATTTTTACGTAATGTGCAAGAGCTGAGGCTATGGCTCCATTAGCTCACCTTACAAGATCAACTAAGCTGCCCACAAAAGGGCATTGTAATGGCATCTAGCCAGATCATTCCAGATTGTGGAATTTGTTTTCCTACTATACATTAAACCTTCTCTTAACAGAATTTTAAATTGTATTTGGTGTCTTAACTCTGCCCCTCTGGGCATATGCATTATGGTAGTGTCCTATTGCATGATAGTGATAGAAATGTAGCCGTGTTAGTCTGGGGTAGCTGAAGCAAAATGCAGGACAATGTAGCACTTTAAAGACTAACAAGATGGTTTATTAGATGAGAGCTTTCGTGGGCCAGACGTCTGGCCCACGAAAGCTCTCATCTAATAAACCATCCTGTTAGTCTTTAAAGTGCTACATTGTCCTGCATTTTGCTATTGCATGATGACACTTTTTCTCAAATACTACAACTGCTGCACACAAACCCGTAGCGTATCAACTTAGACTTAACTTCTCTAGATGTAAGCAATATTATTTATTATTTGCAGTGCCTAGGGCCAGAGGCATGAACCCAGGCCCTATTGTGCCAAGTGCTGTACAAACAGAGAACAAAAATGTGGTATAAAGCTGGCTTTTATTGTGTAGGTAGGTCTGCTTCTGTAAGATGCCATGAATGCACAGCCTTTGCCAGTGCATTGTAAGTAACAGCAGGCTGCAGCTAGGTTAGTTGCAAACTCAAAACATATAAGGTCTGAGGCACAATCAAATATCAAGGGTTTTTTATAATCAGAGGTTCATAATGATTGATTATGTCAGATTTCATTAGGATGGAGGGGTAATCTGCCTGTCCCGCCGATTGTATTAATTTAGCTGCAGCAAATGTTCCTATTGGCACCAGTATGAAATCTCTGGTAAACCAACTCTATTGCAGCAGTACCACCAGGGAATCAGGAGTCTGCCAGTGGTCAGAGCTAGGGCAATGACCCAGGCCTGGTGGGATTCACCAGCTTTGGAGGCATGCCCCACAGCCTTTTCTGTGAGGCATGCAAAACCCACTGCATCCTCCCTGTAATGGGACAGCTAGATAGATCTCTGCATGCAGAAATTCCCCCACAAACACTCTTTTCCACAGCATTTCAAAAGGAGACATTGGCTTTGGATTTGACCCTGTTTGTGTGAGAGTCTGTCCTCCCCCAACCCCTCTCCTTTTCCTGATGTTTGTGTGCAAGCATTAAGGTTAGGGACTCCTAGTTTTGAAAGTCCTGGTCAGTTTTTATCTATAGGGCAGTGCTGTTCTATTTTTAAAGCTTTGATATGTTAAGAGTGTTTGTGCGTCAGCATAGTGTCCGTTTCCTTTCTTAAGGAATTCAAGGGTGATTATTTATAAATCCTTGTAGAATAAGTTATTGTTCTTTTTTAACTTTTACATTGGCTGTATTGAAGGGAGAATTATCACATGAACGGACATCCTGACTAAGAGGGGTAGTCTGTTTTTTTTTTAAACCTACAAATTGGTTAGTTATATAATATATGTTAATTTTATCCACTGATTTTGTTAGTAAGACAGCACCTGTAATCAGAAACTGAAAGAAAAAAATGTTAGATTTCATTTGCTCTGTTTATCTCAAATGGAACTGTGCTGCTGTGATTCTATACGCTGAGCTTAATTTCTGCTGTAAATAACAATAGCTATTATGACCCAGTGTTCAATAGCCAGGAAACTTTTAAATTGTGTGGAAGCATTCTACTCTTTGGCTTAAACAAAACATTTTTAGGGTACGCATTGTGTATTTTAATAGTTTATAATGAAAATCGTTCTGTGAAACACTACTGCTTATAGGCAGATAGTTAAATAGTTTTGTTTATGGTTTCTGTTAAGAGCTAAAAGTCCAGCATCTAAATAGGGGGCCTGATTTACGCATGGGCGGACTGCCTGCCGCTACCATTGTTTGGCATTTAAAAATTCAGGAGCTCCTAGATATGGATGTAGACAACTACCCGTTTGGCACTCATGTTTGAAATGTTTTGCATTTGTGTAAAAGTGCAGTTCAGCTGTGTAAAAGTTAAATTTTCATCCTCTCTGAGTAATGGTCAATCTCTTATTTTCATTATTTGCACGATGATGTTATTAAGGAGACAATATGGGTGAATTAATATTTTTGGTTGGACCAACGTCTGTGGGTGAAAGAGACCAGGTTTTGAGCTTAAAAGACCTCTTCAGGTCTGGGAAATGTGCTCAGAGTGACGGGACTAAATACAGGATAGGAGAGATCATTTGAGGTCAAGTGGACAGTTATCAGCTCTACCATTCTACCACAAAGCAGGGGGAGTGTTTTAGAGAGAGTTGGATGAAGAGATGGGGGTTGCCAAAGTTGTGGTGGAAATCTGTGAGGGAGTGGAGTGAACACAGGAAAAAAAGACAAAAACACCATCTGAGGATGAACACTTTTTCCATAAAGTGATCACTCCATACCTGCTGCCTTAGTCCTTGTCCTCAGACATGCAGAATACCTTTGAGATGATCCTGGGAACTTAAGTCCATTACTCTGCCCAAGACCACCAAACACTGACTTAATAAAGACACATCCCTGACGGACATAATTTTCACTGTCAGAAGCACCAGTGTGGACAGTGCTATGTTGGCTGGAAATGCTCTCCCACTGACATTGCTACCATCACTCGTCAGGAGCAGTTTAATTATGCTTGGTGTGAGAGCTTTCACCGCTAAAAGGTTGTTCCATATTTCTAGTCTGAAGTTTTCTGGCATCAGCTTTCTTTGTCTGCTAGACTGAAGAGCGAGGATGTTAAGAAGTGGGTAATTGACTAATCACGTAGTTGGTACTACATGATTACTCGATAAGGGGAGGCGCTCTGTCCCAGCTCCCACTGGGTCCTGGAGCTACCCCCGGTGCAGCTCTGCAGGTTAAATGCAGTAGAAGCCATGTGTGCAGGCAGAGCCACAGTGGGGGTAGGTCTCAGACCCTATGTGAGCCAAAACTAAGCAGTCCTACCAACCGCTGGGCCTCTGCATTTTAAATGTGCCTCCCCCCCCCCCCCCCACTCAACTAGTTGCTTATATCCCTGTCAAAGAGCCCTCTTATCAAATTTCTCTTCCCACTGCAGATACTTTCAGCCTATAACCACAACCTTCTTTTGCGTCAACTAAATAGAGCTCCTTTAGTATCTCAGTATATGGTATGTTTTCCAACCCTTTAATCCCGCATTTCTCAAACTGTGGGTCCTGACCCCCCAGGGGAGTCGTGAGCAACTTAGAGGGTGGTCGCGATATCACAAAGTTTGAGAACTCCTGCTTTAATCATTCACGTGGTTCTTCTCTGAACCTTCTCTAAATTTTTCAACAGTTAAAGTGTGGAGACACTATTCCAGCAGTGGGTCACACCAGAGGTGGAATTAAGAAGAAACATTTACCCATGAGAAAGTTATTTCATAACTGCCCACTTCAGGGTTTCTTAACCCTCCCCCCCCCCCCTTTTTTTTTAAACATCTGGCACTGGTCACTGTCAGAGTTAGGGTACTGGACTAGATGACTCACTCATAAAATGGCATAGAATCATAGAATACTAGAAGGGACCTCGAGAGATCATCAAGTCCAGTCCCCTGCCCTCACGGCAGGACCAAGCTCCATCCTAGAGTAGACCGTCCCTGATAGATGTCTTTCTAACCCACTCTTGAATATCTCCAGTGATGGAGATTCCACGACCTCCCTAGGCAATCTATTCCAGTGTTTAAACCACCTTGACAGTTAGGAAGTTTTTCCTAATGTCCAATCTAAACCTCCCTTGCGGCAATTTAAGCCCATTGCTTCTTGTCCTATCCTCAGAGGCCAAGGAGAACAATTTTCTACCCCCATTACACCCTTTTAGATACCTCTATCTTGTCCCCTCTCAGTCTTCTCTTTTCCAAACTAAACAAGCCCAATTCCTTCAGCCTTGCCTCATAGCTCATGCTTTCTAGACCGTTAATCATTTTTGTTGCTCTTCTCTGGACCCCCTCCAATTTCTCCACATCTTTCTTGGAATGTGCCCACAACTCCACAATACTCCAAGTGAGGCCTAATCAGCACAGAGTAGTATGGAAGAATGACTTTTCCTGTCTTGCTCACAACATTCCTGTTAATGGCATGTATTTTTGTATTTATCTAAATGTAGTACGTGCAACCTTGTAAGAATTTTTCTAGTTATTCTTTTAATAATCGAGAGAGAAAAATTAGTGCTTTTTGTGAACAGTTTTTAAATGCAGTTAAAATTCATTTTATTCATTGTGCCTCATTTTGCCATGCCAAAAAATTCTAAATTGTCACTAAAATAACTAGGAAATATTGTGTGTACTGTATAACAGGTGTCAATTAATGGTCTGTGTGTTTTCAGGTACACATAGTTTTAAAGAAAACCATTCATTTTGAATCCTTTTGCATTACAATGAGAAAAATTTTTTCATCCATTTTAATTTAATTAATTTATGTGTTATAGACCCAAATTTTGTTCGGACGTTTCTCACAACTTATAGATCCTTTTGCAAACCTCAAGAACTATTGAGTCTTCTGATAGAAAGGTATGCAACTTTCTTTTTTTTTTTAATCTTCCCTGGAATGCTTGATGAACTAGTCCATATGAGGAAGGCTCTTTGTGTCTTTTTTTAATGTGTAGTAAGATTCAAAATAGTTTATTTTAAAAATTAACATTTTAAAACAGATGGCTTTGATTTTTGTCACTGGTCTTTTTTAAAAGTTTTCAAATGAAAGATTATAAAGGCCAAAAGATCATCAGCTGGTGTAAATTGAGTTCCATAGAAGTCAGTGGTGTTGCACTGACTTACACCAGATAAGGCTCGTGCCCCAAAAGTTTTGTACATACTCTATTTTTCTATCATCTATTTTTATGGTTTTTTTCTTGAAGTGGCATAAAATACTGGATTTATTATTTCCAGTTAAGTGAGTGCACTATGCTTACTAACTGGTAAAGGCCTGATTTAATGGAAACCCTCTAAACTTTTTGACTAGCAGAGGAGAGTTTTCTGCATTGTCGAAGGAGAGGTATCTTCGATTAAATCAAACTCTTAATAGTTTTGTTACTGCATGTTCTGAGAGGTTAACACAACACATGACTGGTTCCTATTTACATCATTTAAATGAATTTAAAGGTTTCGACTTTTACTGTTTGCCCCATGGTAGGTTTGAAATTCCGGAGCCAGAGCCAACAGAAGCTGATCGTATAGCTATGGAGAATGGAGACCAGCCTCTTAGTGCAGAGTTAAAACGATTTAGGAAAGAATATATACAACCTGTACAGCTCCGGTGAGTATTAAAGAAATGCAGATCAAACTTCTCCTTCATAGAATGCCTCTGCAGATTCCCACAGGGAGTCTCTTATCGTGAGCCATGGAGCCACTGACAGTAGTAAAGCAATGAGGCCTAGTTTGCATTCCAGCAATCAAGAACCTGAGACTCCAAAGTCCCCACCTAGTCATGCAGCCTCAGTTTTGTTTATTCTGCTTACAGAACAGTTACAGAACCACACAGCTCCTTTCGGTACAGTAGATATTTGTTGGATAGTAGCCAAAAAAGAGTGACTCTCTTATAAACGGAGTTTTCTGAATGTGTTGCCCCTGCCGATGCACAGTGATCCCTCCCCCCTTCTCTATACTTCAGAATCCTTTGGAAGCCTCTCTGAGGTTATGTCTACGCTCAAGTCATTAAAGCATGGCCATGGCTCTGTAAAACACCTAAATGAGCGCGTAGCTCCCAGCGCTGGTAGCCCATTTACACTGGCACTTTACAGCGCTGGAACTTGTAGCACTCGGGGGGTGTTTTTTTTATATCCCCGAACAAGAAAACTGCAGCACAGTAAAATGCCAATGTAGACGAGCCCTGAGATGATGAAGTAAGGACAGCATTTAAGGGGTCAGCATTAATAAAGTCTTAGGCTCTAGAATGCTATGATGAAAATTAGGCTCTAATGCTACCTAAATGGATTCTCTAACATCCTTGCTTCTTTGGCTTGAGGCATGCAGCAAGGCTAGACTCAGTGATAACTGAAGACTCAGTTCCAACACTGCACTTTTGCCTGTGTGGCTTGTTTCATTCAGGGAGCTATGATAAGCTATGCTAGTAAAATTTCAGTTTTGCAAGGATAAGGTGCATCCGCTCTAGAGGTGCTTTGCTAGGATAACATATTGCTACATCTGTGACAGCAAAGCACTGTTAATGTGCAAAGTAAGTAGCATTGGCAGCATTGTTCTAATATATAAATGTATTGAAGGCAAGAACTAGCTATGAATATTCTTTTCTGAGCATTTAATGTGAAATTAAACCCGTATATTAGCTGCAACTTGATTAGCTCGTCTGTATTGTCTAATTTTTACATAGCACCTGGAAGTCCCATTTAAGCCATACTACTAGCATAGTCAGACATAAACTAATAGACTGTCTCGTCTCATAAAGAGTTCATAATCTCTCCTTTAACATTGTAGAGTATTAAATGTATGCCGACACTGGGTAGAACACCACTTCTATGACTTTGAGAGAGATGTAGATCTTTTGCACCGATTGGAAGAATTCATTGCGACAGTAAGAGGTATTTATGATTACAGTAGATGTCAACATATTAAAATATGTCCACTGTTAGACATCTGTGTTATGTGATGATGCTTCCTAACAGCTTATAATCAGTGGCTAAAGGAAAATGAAATATTTGGTGCATATGATGACTTATGTTACCCACTGCATACCCTGAAAAAACCCTTATTTCAAATATCAACTGCTAATTTCATTCTCAGAAGTATGGTGCCTATTCAGAAAAATAGGATTCATGTTGCTTAACTCTGATAGCCAAAATATTATTCTAGCTACATTGCAGATAAATGTATATAATTGCCAGCAATTGAATGGTTTTGAGGTCAAGTAAAAATAGTCCTTGGTCACCTGGGTGAAGGCCCGTAAGCTATAGGTAGGCGTAACTTGCATAAAAGCTTAATGGAGGATACTGTGTGCTCCAGAGCAGAGATTCTCAGACTCTTTCACATCATAACCCCTCAAGATGTGGTCTGTCACATAAGCCACCTCCCCTCCAGTTCATAATTGTGCAGCAGACTTTCCCTATTCATTTTTAATAATGAAACATCGCTGTGGCAGCGACAGCAGTCGCATACAGGAAAAGGTTATATTAAGTATTTAATGCTAGCAGCTGGAAACAGGAAGAGAACAAGTGACCAGTGAGGCCACTTGGGACTGTCAGCACATTTTGTAGCCTGGCTGGTTTGGAAATCTTTGGTCCTGTGTACAGAGCAGAAGACTGGGCTGCAGGAGTTCTTTGAGCGATGGTATGTGTACTGTCCACTTCAGGTTGTGTGCGCACCCAGTGCACTAGTGTTGGAGATTTTTCCCTCGATGATGCCCATTGGGGCAGGGAGATGGTATGAAGGGTAGAGCTATCCCTGACCCCTCTCAGTTCCTTCTTACCACACATAACAGTATTAGAGCATGGTAGCTTGCTCTTGCAAGTTTTTTTCCCCTTGCTGGTAATGTTTTTGTCATTTTGCATATAGTTTCTGCTCATCTAGTAGCTTTATAGTTAGTTTCGATATGTTCAGTTAGTTTAGTATTGTTCTTGGTGTATATTTTGATTTCCCCTTGTCTCAGTGCTGATGCCCTCTACTGGTGCATCACTCAGAGAGCTCTCCACATAAATGAGAGGTTGTCGAGAGCTATCCACTTTAGCTTGTCACACTTTCCTTCCTCACATAAAAATAAAAACAATCCTAGTTCCTACGGGCAGTGTAAAAGCAATGTTCTATGTGAACAGATAGGGAGGGGCCAGATCAATCTCTTGTGCTAAAAGGCAATGCAGCTTTGGGAGTTATGTATTACCAGTGTGATTCACTCCAAACACCTTCTGAGTATTCAGAGCACGTTAGCAGATTGCTAAAGTTGCCACAAGTGGTGTCTCCAGACAGATATAGTAAGAGTCATTTTTCATGGACACGTTTCCCCATGTAGGCCTGTTTGCAACTCGTCACAACTGAAAGGGTAGCAGTTTTGTTCATGAGTGGGTCACGTTCCAGGATCCTTTCCTGTTACCCTAATGGACAGACTCATGTATTCTTACCCCTCAGTGCCTCTCCTCCCCAGAGTATTATTAAAAATCAAGCAGGATCATGCGCGTACAATCCTCATAACTCCGATGCCTTGCCAGCATTGGATCGCTACGCTGCTGAGTGTCTCAACCTGGGCTCCACTGACATAATCTCCAGAGCCAGGCCTGTTCTCTCAGAGCTACGATCATCTTCTTCATCCGACCAGTGTCTCTTCATCTTATGGCCTGGATGTTCTATGGCAAGTGCCTCGGGGGCTGTGCAGGAAATGTACGAAACATTCTTTTGACTAGCAGGAACCCTTCTAGTAGGTACACTCACCTGCTGAAGTAAAAGCAGTTCTTCTTTTGATCTCCGCAGAAAGCTGTTTCTCCTTGCTCTGGGGCCCAATACAGCACATCCCGAACTATTTGTTACAGCTGACACAGCAAGGCCTCTTCATTAGTTCCATCAGAGCTCACCTAGCAGTTGTCTCCACTTTCCACCCTCCAATTGCAGATCACACTGTATTCCCCAAACCAGTGACATTCAGGTTCGTAAAGGATCTGGACCTTTTATTTCCCCAAGTGGAGTATCCCATCCCTCCTTCAGACTTAAATCTGGTGTTATCAAGGCTTATGGGTCTGCCTTTTGATCTATTGGCTTAGAGCTCGTAACTTCATCTTTTAAATTAAAGTGATTTTTTTGGTGACAATTGTGTCTCTGCAGTGAGTAGGAAAATTGCAAGCTCTGGTGTCTCACTCACCTTATGCAGTCTTTTACAAAGTGTACTTATACCCATATCCAAAATTTCTGATCAAAGTAATGTGTCGCTTCCATATCAAGCTGCCAATATATTTACCGACTTTCTCTTGGAAGTTTCTTTCTCATAAGGACAAGGAGTGACTCCCAGGAGAGCATTAGCTTCCTCCTTGGAAAGGGCTGACCTACTTAGATTGTCCTCACAGCTGTTTGTGGCAGACGCAGACACTTTGGAGGGTCTCATTTCAAAGAATGTCATTATGTACTTTCTACTGCATGCATTTGTGCTACCACACGTTGTGACTGTACCAAGCACAGTGCTGGCACGTTCAACCAGATAACAAGCAGCTTGCTCAAGTGCCTGTACAGAACATTTATAGAACTGCAACTTGGTCATCAGTTCACACTGTTGCATCTCCTTCTGCCATGTTTTAGCAGTTTAGAGATAATGGAAGACTTGGACGTGTGATCCTTAAATAATTATTTACGTAGATTCCAGTCCCACCTCCAGTTTGTAATGCTGATGAGTCACCTAAGTTGGAATGGACAATTGCAATCACTCAACTTGTTCTGTAACTGTTGTTCTTCAACATGTGTTGCACTTGTCCATTCCACAACCCACCCTCCTTCTGCACTTTATTAGAGTCTGTCTCATAAGAAGGAACTGAGGGAGCTTGAGGGTGAGTCTGCCCATTATGCCACTGTTCAGCATAGGAATGTAAAGGATTATCTGGTTACCCAATAAGCTTTTACCCTCACCGGGTGATGATTATGGGTAACCAGTTAACCCAGGCTGGAGCAGTCCCCTGCCCGTGACATGGTGCAGCGGGCCTGGCCAGGCCCGAGCAGACCACGGCATGGCAGGCTCAGCCTAGCCTGGTCAGAGCAGCCTGTGCCACAGAAGTGGAGCTGCCCCTTGCCCATGGCACCGCAGGCAGGAGGCTGCTCAAAGCTTAACCGGTTAAAACTAGAGTTTAACCCGTTAACATTTTAAATGATCGTTAACATCCCTAGTTCAGCAGCAGAAGGTACATGCACTGCCCCTTGCAGGTACCAGTAATGGAAAGATCTTCAACACTAGCGTATTGGCCATGCACACACCTGAAGTGGAATGGACATGGTCAACACGTCTTGAACAACACTTACAGAACAGGTTAGTAACTTATTTCTGTTTCACATGTGAAACTTCCATTAAGTCAGAAGGAATTATGTTCATGCTACTACCAGGATCACTGGATTCACACTGCTGTTTATTAGCTTTGTGAGGACAAACAAGCAAAACTGGGTTTCACCTCTGTAAATTAGGGGAATGCTTTCTTCCGAGTATTGAGGCATAATGTTTATAAAGTGGAGAATATTTTAATATTTAAAAAATGATATTGGCCTCTTGAAGAAACATAGAATTAAAAAGGTTAAATAAATGTTAATGATGTCTGTTTATTCCAGGTAAAGCTATGAAGAAATGGGTTGAATCAATCACAAAGATCATCTATCGGAAAAAGCAAGCACAAGCCATTGGACCAAGCCACAATATTACTTTTGAAAGCTCGCCTCCTGCAATTGAGTGGCATATAAGCAAGCCGGGACAGCCGGAAACTTTTGACTTACTCACTTTGCACCCAATAGAAATTGCTCGACAACTCACTTTACTCGAGTCAGATCTTTACAGGTATTTTTCCTCTACTGAAAAACGGAGTGTATTGTATCACATTATTGCAAAACTCCCAAACGTTCCCAAAATTGCTTCTAGAACCCTTTGTATAGATCTTCACTATTGGCATATGTGGTGTGCTAGGTCACTAATTATGCAGCAGTGAAGTCTAAAAGTGCACCTCAAAATAAAAACGTCTGTTTATTTATATCATGGACATCAGTGTATGTGAGCACCTATAATTAATGTATATTATTAATTTCATTATATTAGAGGAGAATATCTCCTAATATTTCTACAATGGGTGTTCCTTTGAGAAACATGAGATCCAGTTAAACCTTTCTCTATATATCCTAGTTTATGAAGCGCATTATAAACCATAGAGAAATCCAACCAGCAGTTTGAGAAGGATGCAGTTAAGCAGCACTTCAGCTTCAAACATTCACATCTCCTTGCGGTCAAGGAGGGTTAGACCTCACGCTTCATTTAGATGAATGGTGGTTACTGTGAATGTGTTCTTTAGATATTTAATTGATAGCATGATGCAAAGAACAAACAGATGCATAGGAATGCCAGTCATTTTATTCATTCAGTTAGCATTTAGATTCTGAGATCATCGGCAGCTGTTAGCTAAGTATTTTTTCAAGCAGTTGTTCTTCACTAAATTAATTCACTGATAACTAACACTTTTTTGGAATAATGGTAGTCTTTTTTTAAAGTTTCAAATTGTGGTACTTTTTATAATTTCTTTTAGAGCTGTACAGCCATCAGAACTAGTTGGAAGTGTATGGACGAAGGAAGACAAAGAAATTAATTCTCCCAACCTTCTTAAAATGATAAGGCACACTACTAATCTCACTTTGTGGTTTGAAAAGTAAGGGGTTTGTTTTATTTTGTTTTGTTCCTTGTTAAATCTCTACTTCTGGAACTTTATTGGATCTGTGTAATTCATTCAGATGCTTTTTGAGAGATACCGTAGGAGAAATTTGGCCTTTGGGAATCCTCCACTCAGGGAATGGCTAAATATTTGCCTCAGAAAATAATTATTTGTAAGTAAGCAATTTCAGCAGAAAATATAAGTGTGTATTTTTAAGCACTGGCTTTGATTTTTTTTTAATTATTTTGCTCACAAACTTATGAGTTTTAAGCAATTTTTTCAGTGTTTTCTAGTTGAACTTTCACAATTGTGTAATTGTAAAATTTCAAAATTATTAAAAAATGAAGTGTCACAGACAATAATTATGTAATGAGAGTAGATGTGGGGATTCAGAAAGTTAAAGCTTTATAACTGTTTAAACACCAAATGTCAATATCACATGTTAAAATACACAAAGCAAATATCCTAAAATCAAACTTGAAGTTCTCATGTGCATTTTTCTTGGTTTGCCTGTCTATAAACCAGGGATGTTAAATTTAGATTACTTAACTAATCAAATAGTTGATGGGATTTCCATTGACTGTTCCATTAGTCTATAAGGGCACCTCTACCTTTGAATGCTACCATTAAAAAGCGGACGCCCCACAGGAAGTGCAGAGCCCCACTGGCCCCGTGCTCCCTGCAGCACCTGAGCCTTTGAAATGTAGATGAGTCCCGGCAGGAAAAAAGCGGAAGCCCCACAGGGAGCATGGGACCTCAGCCTTTGAAATGTACAAGAGCCCAGTGGGACTGCACTGTTGCACTGGCCCCATGCACTCTGCCATGCCTCAGCCTTTGAAACGTACAAGAGCCCTAGTGGGACTCCGCCGCTATGCTGGCCCTGTGCACCCTATGGTTCCTCAGCCTTTGAAATGTACGAGAGACCCAGTGGGCTCTGTCAGTCCCCGCTCGTGCCATTTCCCACTGTGCCTCTACCTCCCTTGCCCCCCCACAGAGACGGTACTGGAAGGAACCTGCTTTTAAGCCAGCTTCCCCTGCACTGGCTCCTGCTCCCCTCCCCCCCGCTTGCTGCCTTTCTCTGATAGAGGCAGCAATGTGGGGGAAGCGACTAGGCGAGGAACTAGTCGACTATCCGATAAGCTTCTCCTTATTGGATAGTTGACTAATCTCTTACATCCCTATTATAAACCTTTATTGTCAATGGAAATATTTTTGCACTGGTTTGTGTGTATATTGAGATTAATGTTTAGCAATTTTTATTGATAAAAATCTAATCCTTTGAGGCCTACTTCTAATATTCCCAGTTTTTTAACCTGAGAAATGGAACCTAACTTGTTCTAAATGTTTCTCAATCTTCCTCCAATTATTTGGTGGGTCTTGTTGGATCCATCAAACATTTCAAAATGGTATATTTTGTGGTATAGCTGGATTTTTGTTGATTGGTAGAGTTTTGACTCTGTTTTATCTCTACAAAATTAGCATTCTGCTTGTATACTTAGATGCATCATAGAAACAGAAAACCTAGAGGAAAGAGTAATCGTAGTGAGTCGAATAATTGAGATCCTGCAAGTCTTTCAAGAGCTAAATAACTTCAATGGTGTCCTTGAAGTTGTCAGTGCTATGAATTCTTCGCCTGTGTATAGGCTGGATCACACATTTGAGGTAGGTTACAATGTTTTCAGTTTTCAATCTGTTACCCAACTGTAACAGTTAAGTTACATTCTGTTACTATATAAGTGCTGCTGCTTTCAGTACCCCACTAAGAGTAGTAACAGTCTCTTGCACTTTGAAGGAGTCTTTGCTTCTGTACTCAGTGTTCACACATTCTGGGCTCTGGCACTGCCAATCACAAGACCATTGCAAGGACCCGTGCAAAAAGCCAGAAAACAAATACTTCAACAATATGCAGGATGCACTTCAGTGCAGTGTCTCTGGGCTCCCCAAGGGAAGTAAAATTGCCCATGAAGGATTGAATGAGGGTGCAAAATAGAGCTATCAATTCCTTTGTAATGTCAGAGGCGGTTACCACTAATGCCCAGGGTCCCCAGAGTGAATACAGTGGTGAGTAAGGCGGAAAAGCATGGCACTTCACCAGAGCCTGCTCCCTGAAACCAGTAACGGATGTGATTGAAATTAAAAGATGGATTATCAGAAAGGCAGAGGCAGATCGATCAGAGTAGTGGGTGTCTGGGGAAAGCGGTGGAACACACCAGCTGCGGGGAGCAGGAAAAAAGTCTGCATCTCCTAGAACTATGGTGTCCAACATGCTAGCCTCATGTGGCTATTTGGCCGTTTGAGTATGGCTAGTTTGCTGCTTCAGAACTGGTTGGACACAACGGTAGAAGATTTCCTCCATATACTTTAGCATAGGATCCATACCCATTTAATTGGGCTGCTAGACCTTCCCTGACACGCGAGTGTGTAAACAGAATACTGAGCCTCTAGCCCAGGCCAGCTAGGACTCTTCACAAAAGCCTGACTTTCCCTCAGCCCCCTGACTGTCATCTTGTTGTTATAGTAACTAAGTAAATTATTATTAATCATAGCATTGGTAGCATAGCTCTAAAACCTTTAAATCCCACAAATGCCCGTGGAAAATTCAGTTCTTATATCCATATAGCTCTCTTCATTTCTAGATTTCAAAGAAATAGTATCCCATTTTTCAGATGGGGAAACGGAGGCCAAAAGAGGTTAAGACCCAGATTCTTAAGTGTATTGAAATATTGCTATGCTCAGCATTGTAACACCAAACTGATTTCAGCTGTCACAGCAACACATAAATGCCTTTACAAATCTGAGCCTGAGAGTTACCCAATGTCACACAGCAAGGCAATGGCAACTGTCCGTCTCAGACCACAGTGCCCTCCTCGCTAACCTCACTGTGTATCTTTTCAGCAAATTCCAAGTCGACAGAAAAAGATTTTAGAAGAAGCTCATGAACTGAGCGAGGATCACTATAAGAAATACTTGGCCAAACTCAGGTCCATTAATCCTCCATGTGTGCCTTTCTTTGGTGAGTAGTTTTGATTCGGGATGATCAGTATAAAAGAAATGTCAGTTCATGTTTTCCAAGGAGTGAGCTAAAGCACTCTACAGACATACAAGCAGAAGTAAGAAGTATTAAAGTTTTAAAGAAGCACGGTGAGCTTGAAATCTAACCAGTTTTTTAAAAGGTCAACTTAGTTTTAGTGGTCTCTGACTGCAGAGCATTTTCTCTCCCTACTGCTGTGTGACAGATGCACACAAAAGGACAATATGACTGAATATGCAGAAGAAAGAATTTAGTTGACTGATCACAAGGTAAACCACTGGGGAAAGGTTTTTTTCCTACTCTGTTCTAATGATTTTAGGTGTTGCTTGCAAAAAATAGGTTTTTAAAGGACCATTTAGACAGAAATACGATTTTTCTGAAGTTGATCGTGTCCTTTCTATCTTCTGACAATGACCAGTGGCTTCAGAGGGAATCAGTAGAGCAGGGCAATTATCAAGTGATCCATCCCCTGCCATCCAGTCTCAGCTTAGAGCAGTCAGAGATGTAAGGACGCCCAGAGCATGGGGTTGCATCCCTGGCCGCCATCTTGTCTGAGAGACACTGATGGACCTGTCCTCCATGAATTTTCTCTTTTTGAACTCAGTTATATTTACGGTCTTCTCTACACTCCCTGGCAACAAGTTCCACAGGGTGACTATGCATGGTGTGAAGAAGTACGTCCTTCTTGTTTGTTTGACATCTGTTGCCTGTCAATCTCATGGGGTGATCCCTGGTTGATGTGTAATGTGAAAGAGCAAATAACTCTTCCCATTCTCTTTCTCCACACAATATATGATTTCATAGACCTGTATCAGAGTTCCCCCTACTTGTCTCTTTTCTACGGTGAACAGTCCCAGTCGTTTTTATCTCTCCTTATATGGAAGCTGTTATCCTTCCTTATCACTGTTGTTGCCCTTCTATGTACTTTTTCCAATTCTAATACATCGTTGTTGAGATGGAGCAACCAGAACTGAAAGCAAGGGCATACCATGGATTTATATAGTGCCACAATATTTTTGTCTCATTATGTATCCCTTACCTAATGGTTGCTAACATTGTTTGCTTTTTTGATTGTGCACATTGAACAGATGTTTTCAGAGAACTATCCACAATGACTCCATGATCTCTTTCTTGAATGGCAGCCTCTAATTTAGGCCCCATCGTTCTATGTGTGTAGTTGGGATTATGTTTTCTGTTATGCACTACTGTGCTTTTATCTACATTGAATTTCATCTGCCTTTTTGTTGTTTGGTCACCCTCTTTTGCGAAATCCCTTATTAACTCTTCAAACTCAGCCTTGTTCTTTACTATTGTGAATAATTATATATTGTTTGCAAATTTTGCTGCCTCACTGTTTATCCCTTTTTCTCAGATTATTTATGACTATGTTGAACAGCATTGGTCCCACTTACAGATCCAGGAGCGGACCCCGTTATTTCACAGTGTAGTCCATTGTGAACAATTGACTATTTATTCTTACCCTTCATTACTCATCTTGTAACCAGTTACTGATCCATAAGTCTTATTCCATGACTGCTTACTTTGCTTAAGAGCCTATGGGGATGGACTGTGTCCGAGGCTTTCTGAAAGTCCAAATTCACTGTGTCAACTGGATCACCTTTGTCTACATGTTTGTTGGTCCCCTCAAAGAATTTGAATAGTTGGTGAAGCGTGGTTTTCATTTACTAAAACCAAGCACTTGAGGAGTCATGATGGGCCCTTACCGGCCCACTGCCCTCATCTGTGGCATTCCAGTGGGAGCCATTCTCTCTCTCTTTCCCCCTCCCTCCCTCTCTCTAATCCTCTTGCTGTTCAATAACCATTGGGGAGATGTGCAGACAGTGGCTAGCTCCTCATCCGTTTCCCATCCAGCATCAAAAGCAGCACCTCAGTTATCCAGGGCTTGGCTCAGATCAGTAACCGGCTGGAGCTGAACCAAGATTAAATCAGGCAATCGGAATAGAGGAAGGAAACACTTAGAGCTTTCCACTTCGGCCAGCTCAGTAGAATTGTCCTGTCTTACAAAATTCAAGTATAACTAGATTTTGCTATTTGTTTTTAATGTGTGTGGTGTGCGCTGTGTAAGTGGTAGGTAAATAAATAGATTACTCTTGAGATTCTCATGCAAACAGGCAGTTTTCAAGGAAAGGTTTAAGATGCTCCCATTATCTGTACATCAGACAACTGTCATTGACTGTAATAGAGAAAATGTTGTTTGTAATGCTATGCCTACACTTAAACTCTGTGCTAGTGCAGCTGTGCCACTGTAGCACTTCATTGCACATACTACCTTCACCATCAGAATGGGTAATCCACCTGGTCAGAAGGGTTCTTCTGTTGACCTGCAGAGAGACTTAAATCACCTTAGCTATGCCATCAAGGGTGTGGTTTTTTCACACACCCTCCCCGCCCAAGAGATGTAATTATGTCAGCCTAATTTGCTGATGTGGATCAGGTCCGTATAATTTAAAATACACAATATTAATTCTTTAAAAGGGCTTCATATACAAGCTATATTGTTATTTCATCATTGGTTTGTACTGTAGTAGCTGAATGTTCTTATACTCTCACTGTTTTAGGAATTTATTTGACTAACATCTTGAAAACGGAAGAGGGCAATCCCGAATTTCTAAAGCGACATGGAAAAGAACTTATAAATTTCAGCAAGAGAAGGAAAGTGGCTGAAATAACAGGGGAGATCCAACAGTACCAAAACCAGCCATACTGCTTACGAATAGAATCTGATATCCGAGTAAGTTACATTTTCTTACTTTGTTGTGGTGATTAATTCAGAAGTCATTTGAGAGAAAAACAAAGGCATCTGTAGAGCAGGATTTTTGCTCGTGGGTCTCAAGCTGCCAGTGTGATGCCATGCAGGATGTCCCTACTTCATAGGGGTTTCACACTACAGGACTTGGGTGTAGTAGCAGGCAGCGTATGAGGCTTCATCTCTTGGCATCATGATCCATTGATTCCCATTACCTTAGCCTACAGAATTTTCTGGCCACTTCTTTCTTGGCACAGACCAGCAAAGCTTTCTGCAGTAGCTGGCCTGAGTGAGTATCTAAGCTCCCTGAGTGAGAATTCTGCATGTAGCTCTTTTTACCCAAAATCATCTTCTGCTGTAGCAAAATGACTTTTCTCTGCTATTACAAATTCTCTGCAAAAAATTCTTAGCATATACTGGCATTTTTAGCCCTCTTCGAAATTATTTCTTACATGCCTTAAAACACAGTCTCCTCATCATAGTGCTGAGGTGAGGTAATACCCACGGGTATTACTCGTGTCTTCCCAGGTGAATGGATTTCCCTGTGCTAGCAGTTAGCAAGATCTTGCTCCTAGTTTGTCAGAATAATGGAAATTGGGAAATAACTAATGTCCGTTATATTTGATATTCTTACTGATTTTTTTTTAAGTGAAATTTCATTTAATTCACCTTTGTTGAATAGTATTTACATAGCACTTTGGAAGCCATTGGGCCTACATGTGTGATAAAGTATATAGAATCTGCCCCATAAAAGTAACTTCTGTGATGTAATCTTCCTAAACTTCCTGTGTTTCAGAGGTTTTTTGAAAATTTGAATCCAATGGGAAATAGCATGGAGAAAGAATTCACAGATTATCTGTTCAACAAGTCATTAGAAATAGAGCCGCGAAATTCCAAGCCTCCACCAAGATTTGTTAGTATTCAGATTTTATTTTTTTCTTAATAACTTTAAAAATGTTTCCCGCAATGCAGCAGAGATTGTTTTAGAATTGATTTGTGTAATTATGAAGCTTCATGTAACTGATTTTGTGATGGAGATGAAGGTAATTTGGTCTTTAAAATGTTTAATTTCCATTCACTGCAAGGTTTTTAATTTAGTATTACTGATATTTGGTATCACTGCAGCCAAAAAAATACAGCTGTTCCCTCAAGTCTCCGGGTGTTCGTCCATCAAACCCAAGGCCAGGTACCATGAGACACCCTACTCCGCTGCAACAGGAGCCAAGAAAAATTAGTTACAGTCGCATCCCTGAGAATGAATCCGAAAGTACAGCATCTGCACCAAATTCTCCACGAACACCATTGACACCACCCCCTGCCTCTGCTACTTCCAGTACTACAGATGTCTGCAGTGTGTTTGATTCAGATCCTTCAAGTCCGTTTCATTCAAGTAAGTGCTAAAGCTAAGAATGCATTTAAATAATTAGGAGTGTCACAGATTTGTGTGTGTCAGACTTTATGATCTAACTGACAGATCGTTTTGGTCCTTCAAATTTGCAATTTTTTCCTCCTTGCACAACGGCAGAGTTCTACTGCATTTTTACTTGGACTGCTATTATTTTTAAGTTTTTTTTTCCATATGTGGGATGGGGTAGATTAGGAATCTTGCGTATAGTTTATTCCAGATCCGCTGTGGACAACCAAGCCATTCCTTGATGCAGAATTTTGTGTTTTAAATATCCATCAGGATCGGCATCTGTGTCCTCCATTAACTTCACCAAAATCTCTGATGAAATTTCGGGTCCTCCTCCTGTTCCTCCACGGAGACGACCAGAGTCTGCCCCAGCAGAATCCTCACCCTCAAAGGTGAGAAATGTGTGGGCCAACACCAGCTGCGTTCTGGGGAAATGCCCGTAGCAGGCCTCATGCGTCGATGGGTGAACCAAAGCCTGAGAAGTGAGGGTGAGGGGAAAGGGGGAAAAATAACTTTTAAAATCTCATATCTTATTAGTTCAGTTACATGGGTAAGAGTAAGCTGCCATATGCCTCACACCAATACAGCCTTAGCTCTATGCCACATCTTCTCATCTGCCCCAAGTTCAAAAAGAATTGAAGGAACAGCAAGCAGGAGTTTAAATTTAGAGTGCTAATGCTTTCCAGGTAACTGGTAAACCTTTTACATCCCTAATATGGAGAGTAAAGAGGTAAAGGTAACAGCTTTAAACCATTCCATCGTCCCTGAAAGATGAAATAAAATGTACCAGCCTAATGATCTTTTGATTAGTGTTCCCTCCTCCGGATGCCATTTCTCACCTGCCTTCATACTCCATCTCTTCTCTTTCCTCTTACTAACGTGCTTGTCTGGCCATTGGTCTTCAGTTGGGACCTGATCCTGCACGTGTTGCAGGCATTGACAACGCTCTTGGGGCTGTAGTGTGAGATTGTTCACAGCCCTAGGGTGGGATTTTCAAAACAAGTGATTTAAGAGCACCAGTCCCAGTGGCTTTCAGTGGTGTGGGGTATTCTATTGTCCCCTGGGCTGTAAGCAGCATACGGTATTGTACTGTCCTCTTGGCTGTGGTGTACCGGTAGTTCGGAATAGGAATCCTAGTCCGAACTACCTAGTTCGAGCCCCGTGTAGCCGCGCTGCACGGGGTTCGAACCAGCGGGGTTTTAAAAATGGCGGCTCCCCGCTTATACAAATGAAGCCTGGGAAATTCAAATCCCGGGCTTCATTTGCAAGTGCGGTATGCCTATATTACCCTCCGAGTTCGAATTAGGAGGGTAGTGTAGACATACCCTCAGATGCCGGACCAATGGAGTTTTACTGTACTTAGGCAGAACCAAGTAAATTTAGATTATCCCTGACCGTTCAATCTGTTTTTACGACGCTCCAGTGAAGAGATTACACCTCTTACCTTGGACATTTATTCCAGGTCTTAACTAGTCTTAAGTTTTTTCTAACATCTGCCTGACCAGAAAGAAGGGGTAGATGAGATTTAAAAAAAAAAAAAAACCCTAAACTATCCAAATCCCAGGATTTGGTGATGATGGGAAAGTTCAATTACTCAGACATCTGTTGGGAAAATAATAGATTCAGGCACAGCTTATCAAAGACATTTGTGGATGCATTGGACACAGCTTATTACAGAAGGCCAAGAAAGTGTAGGGGAGAAGCTGTTCTAGATTTTATTCTGATGGGCAGAGAGGAACTAGTTGAGACCCTGAAAGTGAAATGTATGTTGGGTGAAATTGATCAGGGGTGGGGAACCTAGGGGCCAGATGCAGCCCCCAGTTTGCCTGGATCTAGCCCCTGAGGCTCAGCCCCCCCCCCCCCCACAGCACCAGCCCCCTTCCAGCTCCCCACAGGGCTGGAGCGCACAAAAATCTACTAATCTGAGCCCCCTAGGGTCTGGTGGGGGGGGGGGGATTGTCTGTCTCCTCCTTGGTCGGGAGCCAGGTCAGTGAGCATTCACTTTGCTTTTGGTTTTGTTTCTTTGCTTCTCACTTGGGTGTGGACCCCGACTGATTTTTCTATGGGTCAGTGGCCCCCGCACCAAAAAAAGGTCCCCCCCGCTTTAAGGAATGGTGGGAGGGACAACAGCAGAATAAAGACAGTGGATTTCAAGAAGGCAGATGTTGGCAAACTCAGAATTGGCAGGTAAGAGAAACAAGTCTAAGGCAAAAATGTTCAGGCTCATTGGCGGGCATTTAAAGAGACATTATTAAGGGCACAAGAGCAAACTATTCCAATGCACAAGAAATAAATCATCCTGACTCACCAGGAGATCTTCAGCAACCTAAAATTCAAAAGAATCCTACAAAAAGTGGAAACTTGTTCAGAATACAGAAGATTAATATAAAAAACAACAGAATGGTGAAAGGGAAAAATGCAAAGGCCAAGGCACAAAATGAGATTAAACTATTTAAGGATGTAAATGATAATGAGAAAGCATTTCACAAATATATGAGAAGCAAGAAAAAAACCAAGGTAGGCCCATTACTAAATGAGGAATGAAAAGCAATAACTGAACACACAGCAATGGCCCAAAGTGTTACTTGCCTTTTTTGTTTCAGTTTTCACCAGAAAAGTTAGCAGTAAACAGACGACTAACATAGTGAACACCAGTGTAAATATAGTGGGATCTGAGGCTAAAATAGGAAAAGAACAGGCTAAGAATTACTACGCAAGTTAGATCCTTCAAGTCAGCAGGGCTTGATTAAAGACATCCCAGAATAATTAAGAAACTGGCTGAAGAGATCTCTGGGCCATGAGTGAGATATCGGAGGACTGCAAAAGGGGAGGAAAAGTATAGTACCTATTTATAAAAAGGGAATTAAGGACAACGTAGATAATTAGGACATATCCACTTAATTTAACTACATGGAAAGATAATGGAGCAAATAATCTAATATTCTGTTTGTCAGCATCTAGAAGAAAATAAGGTTAAAAATAAGTCAACTTGAGTTTGTCAAAAACAGTCACCTAATATCTTTTGACAGAGTAACAAGGAGGAAGCAGTAGATGCAATGTATCTCAACTTTAATAAGGCTTTTGACACTGTCTCACATGATTGTCTGATAAACACAGTAGGGAAATACTGCTGGCTGGAAAACTTTACTGAGAGTGGTTATTCATGGTTCACAGTCAGCTGGAAGGACATATCAAGTGGTGTCCTTCAGGGATCTGTCTTCAGTCCAGATCTATTCATCATCTTCATAAATGTTTCCTACTTTGGATGATAACATAGAGAGAACGCTTATAAAGCTTGTGGACAATACCAAGCTGGAAGGAGTTGCAAGCATTTTGAAGACTAGGATTAAAATTCAAAAGGATTGCGACAGACTAGAGAAATGTTCTGAATTAAGTAGGATGAAATTCAGTATGGACCCATGCGAAGTATTAGACTTAGGAGGGAATAATCAGTTGCACAAATACAAATAATGGAAAATGACTACAGGCAGTCCCCGGGTTACGTACAAGATAGGGACTGTAGGTTTGTTCTTAAGTTGAATCTGTATGTAGGTCGGAACTGACGTCAGCCGCTGCTGAAACTGATCAGTTTCAACCGCGGCTGAATCTGGACGCCAGTTCTGACTTACATACAGATTCAACTTAAGAAACCCAGGCGTCCCCAAGTCAGCTGCTGCTGAAACTGATCAGCGGCTGATTCCAGGAAGCCTGGGGCAGAGCAACTCTGCCTCGGGCTTCCTGTAGTCAGCCGCTGGTC